GCAGAAAGCTTTCTACCTTACTGTAATCAACGGTTTATTGAAGGAAAAAAAATCGATCTTGCCGGTAACGTCACTACCCTCTTCATTTGATCAACTCACACACACACACACGTGTGGGTGTGTGTGAGTGTGAGCAAAAACCCGGTGAGGGCAAGTAGGATAGAATTTGCCTGATTGAAGATTAATTACCAGCTTGTGATATGGCATCAATAATATATATGGCTGTTTCGAAAAAAAATCTAGTTTCAAATTTTTTCATTACATTTCTTGCAGATTGTGGTGGCGCGGAATATGCTCGTGATAATGGCATTCCAGTTATTGTTTTCCCGAGAAGGAAAGACGAGCAAGGGGCTTTTTCGGCTAAAGACCTCGTAGTTGAACTAAGGTCAGAACTTTACGTGAAAATTTGGAAAATTTACTACAGTTTTGCATAACTTTGTTTACTATATAAAATGTAGATATCGACATTTTGTTCTCAATATCGGGGGTGTATATGTGGACTGGAGTATATTATTAATCTCCTGATAAATAATTAATTCAATCAAGGCATTCAAGCTTCATCAGTATCACGAAAAAGTTTGTTCTGATTCTCGTTTAATCCTCGGATACTCAACTATCTGCGATTCTCACAGATCATACGATGTTGACTTCATTCTTTTAGCCGGTTATCTTAAACTAATTCCATTGGAGTTGGTTCAAGCATATCCCAAATCCATATTGAACATTCACCCTTCACTTCTTCCAGCGTTTGGGGGCAAAGGTTATTACGGTATCAAGGTGCATAAAGCCGTCATTGCTTCTGGAGCAAGGTATTGTTCTTTTAACCCCTTTTTTTTTTCGGTTTTTGTTTTGTTTCGATCACAAAATAGAGTTTGTATGGATTTGTATGCATATTCCTCATGTTACTTTGTAATTTAATTAGTGGTCTTATGGTTTATCTCTCTCATTTCATTACTACTTTCTAGATTTTTTATTGGTTTTATTATTTTTTTTTTTCGATTTCTGTCTAAACGCTTGAATAAAAGCATTATGTTTTTTAAACATAGGTATTCAGGTCCTACAATTCATTATGTCGATGAGCAATATGACACGGGTCGTATTCTTGCCCAAAGGGTAGTTCGTGTGCTTGCTAACGATACACCCGAGGACTTAGCTGCAAGGGTTCTTCATGAGGTCTATCAACTATAATTATTATCAAACACATTAAAATTTTGCTAAGTAGGTGGGAAAAAGAAACCGCGTTACCCATTTTTCGAATACTTTTCGTTCTGAAAAACTCGTCATTTGAAAATCAGGAACACAAATTGTACGTAGAGGTAGCAGCTGCCTTGTGTGAGGAACGAATCATGTGGCGTGAAGATGGTGTTCCTATTATCCAGAGCAAAGAAAATCCGAACAACTATAATTGATAAAATATGACGAGCATATCGATATTATTCGATCATTAGCTTGAAATGTTTTCGGTTTATTCTTTTCATCTTTCTTGTTTACGGTTTGGAGAATTTCAGTCGAATGTTTAATTGTAAGAGAATCGGTAGGAGCATGCAAATTTTTATTTTTTTTTGGTTCTTTTTTTTTCTCTGTATTTTTCTGTTTAGTCAGATGAATGTTGTACTATTTCTGGAATTTTGCGAATGATAGATGTGAAAAAATTGAGGGGAGTAAAATTTACATGGTTTCAACTTTCAAGTTTTCTTTCTTGCTTTATTTTTATTTATTTTTTTCATTTCTATTTCGGGTCCTCCAATTTGAGACGGTGGTTCATGGGCCGGTTATGGATCTTGGCCCAATGGTCCCTGTTGAACTTCGTTCATCGGTTTGGTTCAATTTTTTTACTTCGGTGGTTCATGGGCCGGTTATCGGTTTGTCTTGTAAATTTTTTAGGGGCGTTCTTCTCATTTCCACATCAGAAAAGGAACTAGAACATAAGCCTCTAGCGGTTGATTTGTTGACTGCCTGCTTCGATTTCCAAAAATTAAAACATCGTGCTTTTTATTGTAAAATAAAAAGGTTGAAGATTAAATTGCAAATTGAATGAAAACTGTTATTTAACTTATTATTATTACTATTATTGTTATTATTATTGCACTTCTAATTATTCAATCCATAATCTATCCCGCTGTAAATTTTGTTTTGCAATAAACAACTAATAAATCCCAACTTTGCTGGAATAATTGGGCAACTCTCTTGAAGTTGGGTTGAAAAGTGAGAATAATTGAGTTTTGACGTCAGCGTGGACGACAACTCGGCCTTCAATTTTCTTTTGGGCTTTAATTGTTGTTTACTTTGGGCTCTAATTGGGCTGAAATAAGCACTTTGTTTTGTTTGATATATATTTTTTTTTCTTTTGTTTTTGTGAAAAATGTTTTGAGTAAATTACGGGTTTGATCTACAAATCTCTATTTATTTGCATATTTGTGAACTTTTTATTCTAAAACCATAGATATATCACTTTTCATGGTTTATGACTGATTCATTTGTGGTTTACTTTAGCCATTGATTTTAAATTGCATTATTTTATGGTTTATGACTTGTGAACATTTTATTTATGGTTATAATTTGAATAGCATTTTCTTAAAAGAAAACTATAGTACATATAAAAGATCCAGTTTTTCTTCTACTCAAAAGAGCCAGTTCATTTTTATATATATTAATATGAACTCTATATTCATGTATTATATTAAATAGATTAAATATATTTATGTGTTTATATATAATTACTTATAATAAATTTTGAATCAAACCGAATAAATTCAATCATTTTCAAATGAATTGAATATAAATCAATAATTAAAACTATATACCTAACTTCTAATTTTCCAGATAATCATGTACACAAATTTCCAAATTTGAATTTTAACATCACGTACCATTAAATGACCTTCTTGAAACTAATAATTTGTCACGTACCATTTCAATGAATTAGTTGATATTGGTGAGTAGGATGGCTTCTACCGACTACATGATGAGCTCACGCACAAAATTTCATGTTGAATGGAAATTAACAAATCAATGAAAAACAAGTAGT